AAGTTGTGGTGGTACTATTGTGATATAGTATACCTATACCAGATGACTATGATATTGGAGAATACTGACAAGACAATAACTGAAAACATTCTGTAAAATTAAAATGTGTAAAACAGGAGGCTATTACTAGGGGCTATTCATCATGGTTACAATAAGAATCTCACATTGAACATTATATTATTCAGAGATTATTGATTACATGATTCCAATATTTTTAGAGAATAATTAATAGTTATAAATGAAATGAACCATCAATGCTGTAGCAACTAAACATCGTTGCTGCCGAAGGTAGCACACTATTCTTAACATGAAGTATCGCGTTTACTTGTGTCCAGTCTCTTTGCCCGAGCTATGTATTGTCGAGATCTCGATGTTGTGTCTGTCTGTATGTAAAGTTGTCGTAATTCCGGGGAAATAATTAAGGCTTCATGAAGTTTTTTTAAATGAGGGAGGCGGTCAAAATTTACTTTGTTTTGCATACGGATCAAGTTCTTCTCAAGTTCTCAAGGACAGTTGTGAGCTTATTTTCATGATGCAAACATGGACAATATTTTCAATAATTCAGGTAAGGGTAGCTTTATTTCTTTTGGTATTATACATGAAGGCATTTATGTTCAGAACACTATGATTTCATGAATATATAGATGCAGCATGAATTTATCATGCATTTCAGAATTTACCCTGCACTTAGTGATCGTGCAATCTGATCGTGCGATCAGAGTAACACCACAAACATCATATTCACCAGAGTACACAACACCAACACAAAAAAATCATATTACAAAGATTACACTGCATGGTATCGAAGGAAGTAGATTCTGTTCCGAAATATCACTTACTCGAACCGTCCTGACCGCGTAGCTCAGTTGGCAGAGCATTGGGCTAGTATTCCAAAGGTCGTAGGTTCGATTCCCACCGTGGCCGGGCATGTTTTTCAAGCTCGCCCGGTGTGGATATACACTAAGAGTAACACCACAAACTCTATAACACCTCGAGTACACAACACCAACACAGAAAAAATCATATTACAACGATTACACTGGTATCGAAGGAAGTAGATTCTGTTCCGAAATATCACTTAGTAATACTCGAACCGTCCTGACCGAGTAGCTCAATTGGCAGAGCATTGGGCTAGTATTCCAAAGGTCGTAGGTTCGATTCCCACCGTGGCCGGGTATGTTTTTCAAGCTCGCCCGGTGTGGATATACACTAAGAGTAACACCACAAACTCTATAACACCTCGGGGTGTTATACTCAGTACTAACCCCCCAGTAAATCTGCCCATGGTTGTCTGCACATATTAACTTACCAGCAGTTACATGTAATAGCATGTCAAGGTATGACGGTTTGTAAAAATATATCTCTGAGATATGTCCATTGTCAGCATAATAAGTATTAATCCTACCGGCCAGCTACATAATACATTCATATATTCACCTGGCTGTGTCACTACATTTCAGGGTATACTATATTTTTTCGATAATGCTCACAATTTCTTTATTATTATATAGTTTTGAAGTTCTGACTCAGTACAATCTTATTCATTACAAATGAATGGTGCCATCTGAAGCTGATATATTAAATTAAACAAAAATGACAGTTGTTCTGTGATAGGCGTAGTTTTTTTATTATAGTATTTCTATACATGAAATTGTTATTAAATTTTACATGTCCAATGATTCATCCAAGTATTATTATTGTTGACGTATATTTATTATACAAAGTATTGTGCTTTATAGAGATTTCGAGCACTGATAAAACTGATAATCTCACATGTGAGATAATTTATGATAATCTCATATGTGAAAATTATCGCTTTTCAATTATAGCTTTTCTGCAAAAAATTATATCGCTTTTCAAAGACTGTCCTTTATATAGTAAACAGAAAAATACATGAATGCTGTGAAATACCAGATTTATTTCTTGTGTTCCGTGCACCCATGTCAAATTATTCTCTATATAAATGTTTAATATGGTACAGTATTCAGTGGCAAGCTAGTCATAGCAACTTGTCATGCTATGCCCTCTCTGCTCTGCTATGCCTATGCTGATAATCTTGCATCTATTTGAATGATACAAATCATTAAAAACTTGCATAGCATGACTTGTTGCCATGGCTAGCTTCAAAAGCAAGAAGTTATAAGCATTGGAGACATTGTAGGTATTCGTATAAAACCACAGGTGGCCAGGCTCTGTGGGGTATTTATTTATTTTTTAATTTCATTATATTTTGCATTACAAATTTACTTTGAATTATAAAGTATAACTTACTTAGTTTCCTTTATGTATTCTTTATGTATTTGGGGGTGGTTTTAGTTTGACATAATGATATAAAAACATCATGAGAGTAATGGCAAAGCGGGATCATATAAACAGACCCTTATTGAGGCAAATTGTACATGCTGCCTTTGACCCCTTAGGGGTGAGGCAGCACTTTCCTTGCGGTAGTAACTTCTAGTATATTATATAAATATGGCCAAGGTGAAATGTTGTAAACTGCCACAAAAATTATAAACAAAGCTGAGGAAGAAATTTTAGCATGTGCGATGTATCATGTGAGTCTGACGAAAATAATACAGCTTGATTACTGAGGTGTGTAGCTGTCATACATATTTAATACAGATTGACACAATGTGTCGAGGTCCTATAATCGAAATCATCGTAAGAAATGAGAATTTGGAAAAGCTAACCGAAAAATACGGTTCTAACACTTAGTCAGACCCCCCGCAAAGATACAATCCGGGATCATGATTAGATCCCATTAACTACAAACTCAAATCTTTGTGTGAACAATCTTCATGTCATAAAAAGGTAATTGGCAACAAAGCTTACCAAAAATTACGGTTCCTTTGTTAAGTCAACGTTTTTATCCTATTTTAAGTATTTGGTAAGAATATAATAAAGTTATACCAATCTAACTTTTGATTACATTTCGTAATTAAGGGTCTTATTACTTGAGCTGGTCACTACCTATTTTACTATAAAAACATACTACAAATTCTCTTTTCGAATCAATTCCCACGAACTATAAGATAACCGTAAGTATATATGGCAGGATTGGCAGCATCTGTTACAGAGATTATATTGCCATTGCCATTGATTTTCAACCATTCCAAACATTGCCATTGATTATAAACTGCCATACAGGGCACTATACTGCTTGGTTTAAATTTTGCACTTTGCTTCGGAAACAAGTGAGAGCATTCACTGCCTCGCTGATTGTGAAATTGGGCGATTGGTTCACACTTCTAAAGACCTAAATTCCTTTCAAAACCACAGGTACAGAAACATCAAATACCACCTCTGGAATGTGGTTGCCATGGTTTTACCACTGACCTCTATATAATATGTGTACAGGTGTAAAATAAACAACTTCATTCAGTTGATATCGAGTATTTCTAGATCACAGTGATATCGATAAAAAGGTTAGTTGTGTTGCCCACTATGAACAAGTTGTCAACAATGTTGTTTCAAGTTTTGTTGACAACTTGTTCATAGTGGGCAGCACAACCTTGTTCACGCTGGGAACAAGTTGTTGATTTTCTCAATTTTTATGTGTGTACCCCTGTACTTTTTATTACAGATTCAGAAACCATCACATCTTGAGTCAATGACAATGACTTTAATTATTTTTTATATGCTTTTATATTCAATATATCCTATATAGGATGTAGACGTAGCAGGCAAGGACTGTCCAATTTATCCAAAGTATAAATCTATTACGGCAAATTATATATTAGAATCATGCACTGCATTGAACTGCACGCCATCTGTTTCGAATTTTATGCTTTCAGAATCAGTTGAGTTTATATTCTCTAGCATATTGCTTTTTGATGAAGCCATATTTTATTATTTATTCAATTTATTTTGAAGAAGGTTTCAAACTTTAAATTTTACCCGAAGGAAATTTGAACAGGTTTTGCAACTCTGATTATTAATTGCCATGCATGCATTGGAAAATATGAAGAAAAATGTATACAATACATTCTGTACCAAAATAGACCATCAGTGATTGATGAAGGACTCGATAATTGATCACAAGGAACGTGATTGCTTTGGCACACTCAGTGAGTTTGAGAGAGGTTTTAGAATTTAGGAAACATGATTTCTATCACCACAATCTTGTGTGTTTAAGTACAGTAACACATGGGTTGGGTTTCTCTTCGGTACCAACCCCAGGTATAAATAATTTAATTAACGGTCCCTTGGATCGTTCATGAGGAGCCACGCTAACAGTTATTGTGATGACATTTGTTTTATCTTGCATTTTTTTCAGATAACGCAAGAAATGCAGTCATCGAGCTTCAAGAATAGCACAATGGCCTGGCGGAGAACCCCCTCTCACCCCTATCATCCAATAACTAATAGAAAACATGATTAGGCAAAGTTCAATTCTCGATGTTTTGCAAACATCTCTTAGTTTATATCAATTCAAAAGTGCCCTTTCACGAAAATCTGCCCCTCTTGCCTTCGCATCGTTCCGGCGTCCCTGGTAATGCATTTTATTTAAAATACTTTTATTTATTACTATCATTTTAAGATTTGCATCTACTTGTGTTTATAGTAACACAACCTCAATGTTCCTTGAATTGGAGCCTCCAACGTTGCAGGAATATTTCTCTTGACTACTGGGAATAATGTAACTAAGTTTTCATGTAAAAATTATTTTATTATCTTAGCAGTAACTTTAACGATTTTTGTAATGTTTGTACGTTCTTGTATTCTATTTTTTGTATATATATTGCAAAATCATTAAAAATCTTAAAATCTGAATAGGAAGCAACTGCATAGAACAGATAAATGTATCACGTTTCCTGCACCACCTTCTCAATTTTGCTTTGATAAATGCATAAATTCTAATTCGACTGTATAAAAAATATGCTGCAGCCGGCAAGAAAACCCCATGTAAATGAATATATGCATGCCATGTAAACTAGGGAGGGGTTGTAAACTAGCGAGAACTAACAGTGATGAACTACAAACACTTCAAGTTAAGCTGACTGTTTTACGCTCTCTGGAATAAATAAGGTATTTTCAACAATTGAAATTATTATTAATAATGTATTGAAGTAAATTTAAATATTGAAGTAAATTTAAATGTAATTTAATATTTAAACATTGTTTTTGTGTATTTCAATAGGTTCAAAAATTATTCAAGAAATACCGATGAGGATTGAGCCGAATAAGAATACCATATATGGCATTTGGGAAACTGGTGTTAAATATCTTCTCAAGCATCGGGAGGATTTATGAAATACTTGGACAGTCCTCCTTCAGCTTTCGGGGACTTTCAGTTACTAATTTCACAATATGTGATGGCATAATGTAGCACATAAGTCTATTTTGAAAGTTTTTCAAGAAGGACCATCATTTCCTGACTCTGTTGTTGCCGTATAGCATCATCATTTACATGGCGTCCATTTGTTGTTGTTGCTGTTGTTGTTGTTAGTCCATCATCATTTTCATCATGTTGCTTGTTGTTCAAATATATTGCTTAGTTTGTCCACTTGTTGTTGTCGTTGCCGTTGTCTGTTTTATCCCAAATCAATCTCTGATTTATTTCATTCCACTTTCTCTTTTAGTGGCTCCATTTCCATCCCCCTCCTCCCGTAAATATGCAACTTGCTTCGTCTCCACTTCTCCGTCTTTTCTTGTTTCCACTTTCCTCGCCTTCTCCAGCATTCCTTTCCTGAGTCTCTGAAGCAGTCTCCATAGCCTTTCTCCTGATATCAGCTCACGCCAATTTATCTGCCTTTATTATTTGTCTTTCACTGTCAACATTCTCCCTTTCAGAATCTGTAACCTCTTCTCTTTCCACTATTTCCTCTAACATCACATCAAAATCACTATGACCTGGGCTGAGATTCTACCACTGACATCAAACTCCTTTCGAGCCTTCCTGTTGTACCGTACTTTAAGCTTCTTGCAATGGTCCCTCACAGACATTTCGTTGATACGGAAGTCAGCTGTCTCATGTCGCACAACTTGTCAGCAATGGACTCCAAAACTTTCCCTCTTTCTATCGAAGACTTCCTTGTATTAAGAAGGTTTGATACTAGTGTTTTCCGACAAAATATCACATCTCTGACCGACTCTTGGACACCAAGACATAATCGAGCTTTTTTTCAAACATATGTATATTAAAATACAGTACAAAAATTGCAAACATAATAAAAACAAATACAAAACTTTTACATTAGCTACTGCAAAACAAAAAGTTATGAGCTAAAATGCATTTGGAAAACATTGCCAAAACGCATAAAGAAAATATAATACGATGAAAAGCCTTTACTTTCCATTTTTATGCAACGTTTCCCGACACGAAAACCACCACGAAAAAGTCAACAAACAAACCATTAATTGTGCCAATAATTTGGCGTAACAAAAAGATAAATAACTGAATAATTATTTACTCTTACTTGTATAAGGTAAATAGGAATGTCAATAGGGAGAAAGGAAATAGAAATGTCAAAAAATTTTTCGACGCCGTAAAATTTGTAAAAGTACGTCGTCGACGAGGTGACGCACGCATGCGCATGCGCATCGGCAAAATTTGAAAAATTTACATCTGGCGGCCGTCGAGCACACATGTAGTCGCAGGTAATATAAGCTCTATATTACACATGATCCTTGTCGTGGTGTTTCGTACTTCTGTAATTCCTATAGGTGTGTAGGAGGTGTCCCAATATAGTCAGGCAGATAGAGGGAAAAACACTCACCAATCAGCACAGTCTCCGGGATAAATAGATGAATAGCATCAATTGTCAAAATTGCAAAATTAGATGATAATCATCTATCTAAAGGCTAGTTTCCACTCAGGGAAATTATCCGTGGATTGGAACGGAATAGAAAATTTTTCTTTGTTTTGGGAGCTCTGGGTTGGAACTAATGACTTCAACACAAAGAAAAATGTTCTTGTCCGTTCCAATCCATGGATTATTTTCCAGAGTGGAAACTAGCCTTAAGGGAAATACTTGAAGTATCTGAACTGCCGCTGGACAGAAGCACTGAGGGCTTGTTTCTTCCAGCGAAAAACATAAACAAAATGGTGTTTTGTAAAAATCAACCGATGGTGACAGAAAAGCTTGTTGGACCCACAAGAACAATTGGACCGGCCAACATCCGGAAATGTGTTAAGGAGGTTTAGAAGAACATCTCTATCATAAAAAGAAATTGCCCCTCGATCGGTCAGTAAACACTCATATTTCGAATTCCATTTGCATGACTATTATTAAAGCATTTGGGAGAGTCGCGAATAATCAGTGGCGAAGCTAGCGGTCATGCTAGTCATGCTGGGCATGACCAAACATTTTCCCAGAAATATGAAAATATGCATTATTCTTCTTGTCTTCTTTCAATAAATAAGCCTTATAGTTGCCCCGAGCGCGAGTTTACGACAACATGGCTTCCATTTAGTTAAATAGTCCAAAATCTTCGATATATTTCTAATAACATAAAAGGTAACTAACATTTGCAGCGTAATATTACGCAATCTTGTTGCGTCACTGCAGGTCTGTTACCGAGCAACTTGTGCTCTTTGTTTACACGTGTTATATTTCTTGGTCATGCCTCTTGCGAAGAGCATGACTAGCTATATTATTTTATACAGGAAATACTGAATTCTGATTGGATAGTTGTCGCTTGCGCATGCATGCACAGTATGGCCGTTCGGAATGTTTGGTCATGCCATTCTCGATTCGCATGACTAAAATCATAGCTTAATATCTTATAATAAAGCTACAGCTTACAACAGCAAAAATCACAATAAATCCCACTTTTGACGCTTTTAAATCTTAAACAAGACGCCTACTCAGGTGTTCACACTGACCTGAAAATGATGACATGTGCGCTATGGTGCAATCTCGTTCTTTGAGCCTGCGGTCCTTGGGAAGGAAACGAAGGCTCTGGGATAATCCGTTTCAGGGAGGAATCTGATTGGCCGTTGATATGGAATGTGCAGTTCAATCTTAGCCAGAATTCCTGGCTTTCGCCAACGGATTATCACAGAGCCTTCGTTTCCTTCCCGAGGATCGCAGGCTCGGGGAACAAGATTGGCTATGGTGTAATAAACAAGGGAATGGGGAGCAAGAGAGTTCAGTATAGAACAGTTTCAGCGGTAGATTTATCCAAAGAAAATAAATAATTTGACAACAAAAAGCAGAAGGCAGAAACTGTTTGAAACCTAAAGTTGCGCTTTTGCACAAGTAACAAACCTTCATAGGAAAAAAATAAAAATATAAAATGAGACATAGGTAACATCTCTTGTGCTTTAATCACATTTAGTTTAATATCAGATACTTAGTAATAATATCTATAGATAGTATCTCAGGTTCACACCGAAAATCACGTGACCATATTCAACTTTATCAAATCATGATCATGGATCATTTCTGAGTAGTGAAGCAGTCAGATACAATATATCATTGTCTCCTTCCGGCGCCTTTCGGTTGCCTTGAACGATACGTTTTTGAAGAATGGAGATTTTGCGCTACGCAGTATTCCGTGATCATGTTCCAATATTGATATAAGAATTAATGAGCACATGATAACAAATGAACACATAATAACTATGAGTTGAGTTGTATTAGGAAAATGAGAACCATACAATAAATATCTTAGTTCTTGTTGGTATTTCACTGCACGCACGCTTTATCTTTACTTGCGCCAATTCTAGTAGCTACTGCGCGAATTTTAATACATGTATTATATGGCGCATTTTTACTGTCAAAATTCAATAGGTCCGCCGGAATTCTAGTAGCTACGTACTGCGCGAATTTTAGTACATGTAATATTAAGGTATAGAGCCGACATGTTTTAATACATGTATTTTAATATGGTCAAACCTTTAACTTGCCCTTGTTTATATTGTATTGTGAAGTTGTGAACTAAATGTTATTGTATTAGGCAAATGAGAACCATACAATAAATCAAAATAAACTGTAGAACCTTTAACTTGTCCTTGCTTATATTCCACTATATTGTATAAATTCGCGTCGGGTCCAAATTTTGGGGTTTTCGAGTCGTTTACTACAACATATTGATTGTATAAATCCGCCGGGTCGGCCAAATTTTGGAAGCCAAATTTTAGAGTCGTTTAATACAAAAATAAAAACATTAATTCAACACGCAGAAAAGTCCAGAGTGCGACAAAAAATGAACACAACTACACCAGTGAACTACCGTGGCAAACGTGTCGTATTCCCTCGGTAAGCCTTTCAAAACCATCGCGATTAACAATGCGTCGCTGATAGCTTTCTCGGCATTTCGTAACGCTGTCGCAAATCGACTATAGGCTCGTTCTCTTCTTTCTTTAGCGATGTCTGTTCGGTATAAAGCGAAATTATACGTGGCTTTCCCTTCCCTTGGTAGTGCTGTCTGAGAACTTCTAGCGCTTTCCTCCCGTCGTCTCTCGCGTCTCGTATCACTAGCGATAAACTTCTATCGTCCAGACATTGCACGAGTTCGGCAAAAGCATCAGCTTGCGTCGAAGCGTCTGGTGGGTCTTTCTCGCTTGCGTCTCGCACGAATACTTTATATAGCTTTTGTAGCCGCATATAGCCCAGGAACTTTACTTCCCACAACTCATATTTGCTTTCGTTACCGTCGAATAGCAAGCCTCTTCTGGACCCATAACCTATTGAGTTCGTTGTAGTTGTCATTATTATATAATTGTCATTCTTTATTACAAGAGATACACACTCTGTGGAAGCATACAAGAACTAAGTTTTATTTTACTATTTTTACATCAAGTGCGTTTATGTTACAATGTGCTCAATTACAATTGGTCAGAATAATTATTCATCATGCTATATATGGTATTACAGGAAATATATTGTATTCATATTGTCTTAATCATATCATTGGTTAACTGAACTAAAATCACAACTAATTACATTATTATTATATGAAGTATTATGAGCATAACTTAACAATATTACATTATTATTATATGAAGTATTATGAGCATAACTTATGACAATAACTTAACAATATTACATTATATTATATTATATTATATTATATTATATTATATTATATTATATTATATTATATTATATTATATTATATCATATTATATTATATTATATTATATTATATTATATTATATTATATTATATTATATTATATTATATATTATATTATATTATAATATATCTCACTCGAGAACATTTTCTCCTTATCAAATATTATAGGGTGAACAATAACACATTGTTCACACGGTAATGTGATATATTCTTTATGGTAATACACCTTGTAGTTAATCTGCTTAAGTAATACCTGCGAAGTACAAAGTCTTCGAATTATCCTTGTCCTGCGTCATTGTCCGTCGTTTGTCAACAAGTTTCGCGATGTTTAAAACAAACATTGGAAAAGTCGGAATCTTCTGGTAAATCAATTAAAATCCTCTTCTTGATGAATTTGGCACAACTTATTTTCGCAACAACGTTTCCATTGTTTGTTTTAAAGTGCCACTGTGACCAAATTTTCATTTCTGTTTTTTTTCCATGATTGTGAAGAATGCGTATAAAGAAGCTGTCACGCAAAATTTTAGCGTGATATCTTATATTTTGCCTGAGTTATACGACGATGAAGTTCGAATTTTGGCGGTCGCCATTAAAATCCGCCATATTGGAAAGTTCAAGTGCTCGGGAGTTTGTGACGTCATAGTCTCAACACATGCTGGGCGTGCAACATAAAAATATATACGCGACTATAGTAAAACTCGATCATGCCTTCATCGCGTTGTGTTGTACACGATTGCAGCAATACTTCTGACAAAAACGCGGGTAGATCATTGCATAAGAGCCCAAATGACGAATCTTTGAGAAGAATATCGGTTAGATTTGTGCAAACTAAGTACGCCAATTTTTATCCAAGCTCGAGGGAAATTCGATTCATGATTTGTTTGGAAACGGATTGTTTTGAGCGTTTATTTCATTTGGATGATTTGCAAAGACGACTTAAACCAGATTCTGTGCCTACTTTTTGGAGGTAAGCCCCTGCGCAACTAACAACAAGAGACAGGCGTAAGGTTAAGTTTAGTGAAATATGAATATATTTTAGCTACATACATATTTACAAATCTGATAAGTCCAGATCAATTATAAATTCACGCGACAAGTGTTGTTCTCATATTATTGAAAATAGGTTTAAATTTTAAACGAGTTGGGCGAAACTGCAAACAATCTGATACAAACGAGGATGAACCATCGAGCTGTTTTTTCAAACTCCGTGTAAGCTCGCTGATCAGTGTTCGGGAATGTTGATCATATTTTATTGTAACAACAACACGGTAATGTGAGATGCCTTGAACTGGCAAACTGCCCGTAAAATCTCATACCAAACCACGAGCTGTCTGTAGAAAACTGCGCGTAAGAACCTATAAAATATATAATATTAAATAAATGTGCGCGCACAATATGTTAATGCTTGTTTAATATAAACATCGGCATAGTTGATAGTAGGCATACTTCAGGTTGACAGCAATGACCACATTCACACCTTATAAAAAATGCAAAATAGAAGTTCAGAGATGTGTTTTAATTTATTACTCCGGCAAATAAGAACACAAACTTACCAAGACGATACATCAATATGACCTTCAAAACGATTTTGTAACATATTTTCGAGCTGTTCGTCTTCTGCTACAGCTTCGTCGACCTCGTACTCGGCTACCTCTTCAGGTGAGGCGAGCGGCTCCAGCAATAGTATCATCAAATGGCAAAAATTCATTGTCAGGTTCGCTTGAATTCGCTGTTATATAAACAGATGAGATGCGGGAGAATCTGTTTCAGACAAATACTCCGAAACGCTACTAGATCGCGACGAAACTGACATTTTAGTTCTTGAAATACATGTGATGCTCTACGTTTGCTTACTAATTCTACTTGTGCCCTTGCGGTGTGTTGAGACTATGACGTCAGAAGCCTCTCGTGACAACATAAAATCAAGATGGCGGATTTTAATGGCGGACAGCAATTTTGGACATTTCAAATGCTCGTAACTCCGTGATCATTAATCATGTTCGCCTGAAATTTTACACAAGCATTTTTGGTGCAATAATAAAGTCGTTGCTAGCAAAAAAGGGAATTTTCTCGATGATGAATTTTCGTCACAGTTGCACTTTAACACGTTTTGGATCTCTTGCTGTCAACAGACAATGAACGATCCAATATCGTATGTTGTTAACATCGTGCGTAGAATGAACTTGTACCCGTGGATTTATTGAATAAAACGCAGTCATACAGGTGTAAACACCGCAGTTACAAAGATCATGTTGTTTGGGGCTTTTGTTAGGAGCAAGAACTAACCAGTTTTCCAGATCAGCAGAATGCCCGTGCATTTCATGCGAAGTAGATATTAAACCAGCAAGAGAGTTGATTGCAGATATATTGATGTTATGGTAGGAGTCATACTAGCACAGCATTAGAGAATTTGGATAAAACACTAGAAGCGTCCAGTGAGAGCTTGCAACATTTACTGGAAACATTAAAATATCAAATTCCTTTTGATCAACTGCTAACGATGCATGAACCATGATAGAATGTGGAGTTATTAAGTAGATTCCAGGTCTTCCAGAGGGAATTGAATAAAATTTATAGACCTAAATTTTACAGATATTGGTAAAAAAATAAGGATTTCATGCATGTTTATCAGTAATTTGTCCGAAAAAGTTTTTTGACCCTTAATTTAATTGGTTTATGTCCGGAAAAACTTTTTTCGACCTCACCCCGCTCGCCAACATTTTTGGGAGAAATAGTGGCCAAAAAAAATTTTGCTGCAGGGCATCATCGGCTTTCGCAGGGCAATTCCTAGCAGACCCCCCCCCCCCAATTAAAAGGGGCTAGTTTCGCCCCTGGACATAAGGGAGCCTCCTTATAAATTGCTTCAAAAACGATCGATCGAATAAGTCCATTGCTGAAGTAATTGTAAAAAAAATACGTTGTGTAAGTCGAGAAAATCAAAATTAAAGTTTATGTAAATCAAGGGAAATCTTGTAGACGTAAGGCAATCTCTGACAATATTAATCTTTAAGTGGTGCTTTCCGCCTAGTGGAATGTCAATCGCTACGAAACGAATTTATAACTTGATCACATAGAGCAGAAATCAATTCAACGCAGCTAAAATTACGGCTTATACGCAAGACATAAAGTTTAATTAATTGTTGAACCTATTATGAACTCAGTAAGTGTTTGGCAATGTGAGAGCATGTTTTTTGTCGGATTACTAGGTGTTTTGTGCATGCATTAAAGTTTTCTTAAATGCGTCATAACATTTGTTTAGTTATATTTGCCTCCTGACCATATCATGCTGCGATTTTGACTTTGGTTCGAAGTTCGAATGTGTAAAATGAAAAATTTCGGTTAAATATTCAGTTGGGCATTGCCGATCGCCTTTTCTTTTGCTGACGTGACAAGCGATGCCGACAATGCAAAATGTCGCTCCGCGCGGAAAACTACCGTAGTGAAAAACGGGCTTAACAGTGACAAACGTGTTCTCTGAGAACCCGCACAGTTATAGACTGTTTGAATAAGGCAACAAGTTAAAAAACCTTAAAAATAATTGTAGGGATTTGTAGCTACTATAGCGAATATAATAAAAATTTACCTTATCCTCGGTAACAAATGTCATAACAGAGTTCACCGACACGCTATCTTTAAAGACACTTGCCAGTTAAGTCAGTTAACTGTCTACGACTTAAAACGTACGTACCTGATACAGCGAATTTTTACTCATGATTTTCATGATATTCCATCGGGCTCCATATAAAAACGATGAAATGCTTGCTTTGTGTACAGTTATTTATTAAAAATAATGCAATGTTATAATTACAACCTCATAGATATTTATATGTTGTCCGTACAAGATACGAGCACATGGCGAGATATGACACCCAACCCCATGAAACATAAGCCAATGAATATAAAGATTTAAATATCTAATTATAATGTTACATAATAAACCTTATTGTCTTCTACAACGACATTTTAAAGGCTATATATAAGCTTAATTTGCGTCGTCCCAAAGATGCATGTGTCCAAAAAAAAACAAAGAATCAAAAAATAAAAAAGTCTCTAAAAATAAAAAAGTTGGCCGGTCGTTTAATATACATCCTGATGAAGAACAAAGAAAACCGACTCAACTATGAAATAATTTCTTTTATAAACTCGTATATAATTTAACTATGTCAAAAAATTTAATTTATTTGGTTTTCGAGTATTATTACAAAGCAGCTGTTGAAAGACAGGGTAAAACATGACTGATTTGCACTGGCTAAAAAAGTGGGCAAATTACATCATGCATGTTCTCTATAAGAAATTCTGATGTTAATTGGTTATTATAAGTCACTTAAATGTGTTCTTTTATATCTTGTATTTACTCGAACCATCAGTGTTACTACAAATATATCGCTACTGCAACTTGTTATTTTGTTCTTGTTTCAAGAATTTTCGCTCTGTAGCTCGAGAGATGATTCGCAAACTTTCTTTAGACTTCGTATCAATTCCAGTTGGTCATAACTTTCGCTTGTAGCTTCATTCTCCTGTCCAAAGAGCTTTAACCTGATCCCAAGTGACTGTCGACATGACTCCAAAGCAGAATCATAATCTTGCATTTCGCACTCACATTCTGCAATGCTGAAGTAGCTCTCAGCAGAGGCTGGGTGCTCCTTTCCATACAGCGCCACCCTAATATCCAGGGCTTGCTGCAACCAATGCACAGCTAAATCGTAATCTTTCAAGCAACACTTTGTGAATCCAACCTGATGACAAGCGGTGGAAACGTCTGGGTGGGTTTTCCCGTGAATATTTTTTCTGATATCAAGTGCTTTCTCGAACGATTGCAATGCTGACTCGTAATCTCTTTTTCCAAGTTGGGTATATCCAATCTGGTAATAGCTCTCAGCAGTATCTGCATGGTTGAGCCCATAAAGCGTCAGTCTGATGTCTAGTGCTTCGTAATGACAAGTCGAAGCAGCGTCATAATTCTTCTGTCTGCATAAAATCAATCCAATGTTATAGTACCTTGCGGCTGTATCCGGGTTTAGCCGACCATATCCTCCTATAAAAATATTAAGAGCGACCTGCAGCTCTGCTGGACTCTCTTGCTTTATTTTAACTTCTGCCAGGGTGCTTTCAACCAGGAAGAGTAGTGGCAAGTATAGACGGTCGTTCAGTGCCTCGGCTTCGACTTTTTTCAGTAACATGGAGACGGGCAAACCAAGTTTAAACATTACCTCCTTCATGTCGTAGCATTCCACAATGTGGTTGATGAGAAGAGCAAGCGGCAAAATGAGTGGTTGACTTGAAGCTTTTGGATTTTCATCCTTTTTCTCGTCAGCGCAATCAACTCCTTGTATAGCTTTGAAGAAAGCATACAAGGATGGTCTGTCAGCGCATTCAGTTAAAACAATGTTCCGATAGTAGGAAAACTTTTCTGCGTGAGGAGTAATCAAAGCAAGAATCTGGGAGCATAAAACCTTAAGTACAGTATTTTCAGAACTCAACAGAGATACCCCTGTTTCAATCATTTTGCCTCCTTTAGCTGCCGCTTTATGACTTAGCAAGTGAATACCATGGTAACACATTCGTTTTCCCATAACAACTTCTGAAGGAAGGAGAGGATTTTGCTTCTCTATTTCTTCGGCCTCTTTTAGTAATGCCAATGTAGCTCCATCATACCAGATTATTTCACCAAAAGCTTTAGCAATTAGCAGTTGGTGGACAGCTTTAAATTTACGCTGCTCTTTTGCCTTCGCTATTGCTAATTTATAAATTTTTTGAAAAATCCGGAAATGGTGAAAGTAGAAACTAGTGTCCAGAAACAGATCTGCATCGGAAAGAACATCAAAAATTGCGTGGCAGACAGCCTCATTTTGAAGACCTTCGGAGAGACTATGCACCATATTTGCTTTGTTAAATTCGAAATCGTGAAATGCGAGCAGAGAATTTCCAGCGAGAAACTGGTTGTTTATATCTTCAAACAATTTGACGTAATAACTCAGGAACCGCCTTTGTGCTTCGTGAGCAATTTCTTTCATTTGCTTCAACCAACGATTTTCTCTTGAGCCTCAACAAAGTTTTCTTTGCTGTGTCTTTATCTCCTCCGATGACGTATACTGCAGCTTGCTCGTCGAACACTTCACTGACAAAAACTGAAAGACAAACAAATGCTTCTTGCTCTTCTGGAGATAGTCTTTTGAAATAAGACTCGAACAAGACCTTTAAACGTTGATCATTAGGCGCATCTGGATCGTCTAACAAGTCCGCTAGCTTTTTTGAAGAACGGCTAAAGTTGTCAAGGAATTGAGATATACTTTTCTTCTCGTCAACGATTTGACCGCACAAAAGCTTCATCGCCAGCGGAACGTCTCCACAAACCTCAGCCACTCTGCAGCATTCACTTTCATCACCAGCAGGGACAAGTTCTTGAACTAGCATTTGTGACGATTTTCTCTCTAACGATGCAACACCGACAGAAGTGTGACCAGCAAATTTTCTTCCCAGCACCAATTGCAGACTTATTCTTGTGGTCAGTAGAAAGGATACATTCTTGCAACGAGAAAAGATCTTTTCCAGTAGGTTTAAAACATGTTGGCTCGTTTCTCCACTACTCTCAAAAAGGTCATCGGCATTATCGAGGATGACACAAATATTGGAAGGAATTGCACTGAGGAGTCCGAACAGTTTTGAACGCTCTCGCCCCGTTAGATCAGACGACGTATGTGCAAATGTGTTTAAGAGGTCAGAGATCAGTTCTTCCGTTGTCTTGACGCTTCTCAAGGAAAGGAAATAAACTGGTAGTCCTAGTTGTCTAACATGGTGTCCTACTGCAATTGCCAATGAAGTTTTGCCAAAACCAGGAGGTCCAGATACAGAGACTACCTGAGCAGATGTGGACGTCAACGCACGCGAGATTTCTTCAACTTTGTGTTGTCGACCAATGAAATGGGGCACCATGGGAGGAAGACAGGGCTTGGGCACTGACTTGTCAAACACTGCGGTCAAATATAGAAAATACGGTTAAACTGTAGCCATTACCTTCTGGACTAAAGATAAAAGGGCAAAAAGCAGTGAAGCACTAGCTTCTTTTTAGTCGTTACAAAAAAGGTGCTTGTACACCAATTGGGGAGGGGGGGAGGAGGGAGGGAGGAGGAGTCATTTGTTCAGGAGATAAGTCACCCACCATATTGTATATATACACGAACTTGTTGTTTGGACTCAACAACTGAACTCTGTAACACAGTTGGTCAGAGGGCTTCACCCCGGAATCACAGGTTTGATTCCTACCAGAAGGCCTATAGTTGCATTTTTCGCAGCTGCTTCAGTCAAGTATAAAACTGTATATAATCTTCCGCTCGAAATTTCCATCTACAAAATACCTTCAACTGTTAGTTCTATCAACCGACAGATGATATCCCAAGCTGCATTACGTAATCATAGAATTGGGTAAAAAATCACAACGTCATATGGCACAATTTAAATGCTGTTTTTTGATTGGACAATTTAAAGTTGAGGTATAATATTATATTGTATCAAAGAGAGTGTTTTATTGATTTTTGCTGAACTAGCATTATAGTTTAAATTAATGCTATTTTGGGGGAGTCTCGCAGTGCCTCGGAAGGTCGTCTCCAATTGGATGGGGGTTTTCTAAAGTACGAAGCAATTCATTGTTCTGAACACAAAAGCAATTGTCAAATCGAGCCAATGAAAATCACTCTTACGAGCTACTGCGAGGCCATCCCTATTTTTGCAAGGTAATGGGACAAATTTTAATACACTACAAAATTTATCTCTCGTATTGACAAAGATATTCTGGTCGACAATCGAAATCATTTTCATATTTCCACACATCCATGTACATTCTAAAAACACCCTGGTTAAAAAATCCTGGTTAATCTGAAATGAACACTGTTTGGGGTAACTTAATGTTCCTGGTTACATTTCCTGGTTAACTTAACCACAGTCCTCGTTAATTTGATGATAGTCGTGGCTAATTTAACTATGCAAGATCCTTGGTTGCATGATTTAACCAGGCTATATGGTTGAATTAACCAGATTATGGTACGTGGATAGTTAATCAAGAATTCCATATTAATAATCCACCCAACATGCATAGTCTGGCTAATTCAACCTGATAGAACCATGCATTAAATGAACCGCTAATCCTGGTTAAATTAACCAGCTGGACTGTGGTTAAATTAAACACGAAATGTAAACAGGAACATTAAGTTACCCCAAACACTGTTAATTTTAGACTAACAAGAAAATTTTTAATCAGGGTGTTTTTGCGTGTATTATTCTCTATATGCATGTACAGGTAATAGCATGGTTTCGAGTGCAATTTGGATATAACATGCACGAGTGAGTTTTTCAAAGACCTCAAAATAGCACGAGTCCGAAGGACGAGCGCTATTTAAGGTATTTGAAAAACTCACGAGTGCATGTTTATCCAAATTTAACGAGAAACCATGCTATTACTTATTAATAATTTACATAAAAATGTTCGAGACAATTGTAGTTTTAACTTACGCTTTAATATAGCGAATATTCCACTAGCAAAGTTTTCCTGGCTTTGTTATATCGCATTATACAACGCTAACAGCTTGACAATTCCACTCAACAGTGTAAGTTTTGTTAGTCTTGTTTAAGGTAAAGGCTTTACCATTTAAAAATAAAGATAAAAGCCATATTTTCCACGCGAAGTCAACTTTCACTTTATGTAGCGCGGCGCCATGTTTGCTTTGTTCTGAAGCAATCTGTGACCGTTACTTCTTTAAACTAAACTGCTTTAAACTGATTGGTTGATTTTATCATCACAATGTTTTTCCACCAATCAGATCAGTTTGTTACAGATTTTTGCACTCTATCAACCAATCACAGTCGAGTAATATTTTTATGTATATTATTAATTTGGTAACCGTGTACATACCTTGAACTTCGTCTGGAATATAAAATCTCTTCAGCACATGTTGAACGTAAGAAGCTGAAACTGCCGCACCAAATTGGCACCAAGTCATATTTTGACATTCATCATTTTCCCACTTTGCAATAGATTTACAGGATACCCAGGGTACTCCAGAGTTCTGACAAGTTGCATATACACCTTAAAACGATGAAACTGAGGTTATTCTTGACTTTTTTTGGCAAAGATCGGAACTCGAAGGCTTTTATGTCTTGGTGACATGTTTCTGCTAACTTTGTGACGAGCTTTAGCTCTACACGAATCTCTGGTTAGAGAGTCTAATCGGTTATCGGGAACTTGCAGATTCGATTCCTGTCTGGACACTGGCATCCCAAGCTCACAGGTTGTTGGAATGGAAGCCATCTTGGATATCTATAATGTGCTTTTGAATAGTGTAAATAACGCGTGTTTGGCGAAATATTTATAATACCGCAAGCAAGGGCGCCGCTACACCTCTTTGAATGGGGTGTGTGTAAGTGAGTTTTGCGGAGTTCTCAAGGAAAATTTATCCGAGTCGCTAAAACCACTAATTAATATTTCTTTTCACAAAATTGTTGGAGAGGGGGGAGGGAGGGTGTGTGGCGGCGGATCAACATAAAAACATTTCCCGACAACATATTTGTCATTTTATTTTGTGTTTAACCACCTCAATTTTTTGCCGTCTATCTGGCCCCCACACCCCCTTTAGCGCCGGCCTTGACCGCGAGTACGTAGCACGAGAGTAATTTCAATTTTGAGAGTAATTTCTGGCATTAATTTTCTATTCATACTTATAAAAATGGGTACGCTAGGCGTACATGTATCTGCGCAAAGGAATTCCATGGTTGCTATGAAAAAAAATTCATTCATAATTATTGAGTAAACATTTAAATTTCGAAGTGACTATACAGCCGGCAGCAAGCTATTTAGTAAACTGCCGGCTATATAGTGACTAAGAAAAAATGCTAAGACAAACAAAACACCACCCGACCTAGGCTGCGTTTCACTTTCCGCACACAATGCCTTATACTCTAACGGCACGGTCGGTGAAAGCTAGCGGAAACAAAAGTTTTTTTATATTTAACTATAGTCACTATATAGCCGGCAGTTTATTAAATACCCAGCGGCCGGCTGTATAGTCACTTTGTTTATATTTGATGATATTACAAAGAATGTTCAGATTGCAGTCTCTTCTTTACTGCAATCAACTGTCGGAAAGCCAGAATTGATGTTTATAATAAAAGCAGAATAAGAGTTATATATGAAATGGGTACAAAATTGCTGAGGTAAATACTGTACCACTGGCGAACACTAAGAGGCTGAGCTTCCCCCTATAATTTTGATAGACAGAACCTATACAGACCAGCTTCTAGAACAAATTATGGGCTTACTAGATTCAAAGTAAAAGCTTCTAAAATACGGGAAACAATTCCCAAAGAAATTTAATCATTGCCAAAGAATGTATTATAATCATTTGTATATTAACATACAATTAGACTGTTATACATTTTATACTGTACTTTAGTACAGTTAGAAATTCCTTAATTACCACAGTAATTGGCTTCACACGCTGTTGTGGGTACCCGGCCACGAAGTATTCATTGACTAGTTGTTTTCTGTCTTGTTTAGTTCTTAAGTGTGTGTGTATATATATATATATATATATATATATATATATATATATATATATATATATATATATATATATATATATATATATATATATATATATATATATATATATATATATATATATATATATATATATATATATATATATATATATTGTGGCAAAATAAATAAATTAATAATATAACTTATTTCTACATCAGTTGTGCCGTTCACTTTTCCTATCAACTTCATAATGGTAGTGGCCAACTCGAAAGCGTTTGCTCCTTTGGCCACTACGCACTCTTCGCTTGTACCATAAATATTTTTTTTATAATTTAATGTAAATATGTATGGTATAGTAATAATGAATATCTTTGTAAGCTAGAAATAAGTGCAAAAATCTTGTACCAAATAATACAAATCACACTCATATAATAATACAATTAATTAAAACATTGTAATTTAATACCATTTATTAAAACAGTGTTTTGAAAACCTAGTTTTTTACAAAATGTGTTTTCATAATGCTGCAAATGTCATTTTCGGGGTCCAAATTTTAAAAATTCTCCGGGGGAGCATGCCCACAAGCCCCCCTCAATATTTCACAAAGTTGCCACCACTGTACTGTACCCACATTTAATGTATGCTAAATGAAAAAAATAGACACAGTTTGTAAAGAAATTTTATTAACTTTAACTCAGCTTATGAAGCAATCCTATAATCCTAAGATGTCCTATGACTATTAATGCGCCATATAACAAAATTCTAACGTAACATAATAATTCTGAATGCTGTGAATATATATAAAATGTACCATATATAAACACAATTTTGATATCCCATACAGTAAATATTAATTATAAATAGACAATCGATATTATTAAAAAAAAACATGCATGGTTACTCACGAAAAAGCTTTATGATGTTACTTCGGGCAATCAGATAAGCTTAGTCATGTTCCGATACCATCATTTGCAAAACTTGCCACATTCATTTACGGATTTTTTTATAGTGAATAGCCAAATTCACCAATAGTAATACAGAACCCGAAACTCGATTGTCAAATTTTCATATGCATTACCATCGAACTAATTATACTAAGCACTCACTCTCAGTGAAAGGAGTGGATGTCCGGAATAATCTTGATGTTAGCTTGACAAAAATAACATCAATACAATCTAGTGAACTTATATTTTAAACAAAGAAGTCGAACTCATATATTAATGTAATTAACAGATTAACGCCCGTATTCTAAAAGCTCACTCACACTCAATGAGTATTGAGTGGAGGTTCAATCTGAACTTTTCTTGAGTGTTGATGCTGTTTTTGAATAGCTGGAGGGTGAGTAGTCACATAGTAAGGTACGACACTAACCCTCCAGCTATTCAAAAACAGCACCGACAGAAGCTCATATTGAACCTCCACGGGTCCACTCATTGAGTGTGAGTGTGAGTGAGCTTTTAGAATACGGGCGTATGCCTTTATAGCTCTCCAACTTTTCTCATTATGTACTTTATTCTTACTAGTGAAAGCAATATTAATGTATTTAATCTTCATATTCTTGTAAATACTTTTAGCACTGATTGACACAAATTTTTAAATAAAACTTTGCACTGGACATTAAACTAGGCCCTTGCCCTTACCTTAAAAGCCTATGAAGGTTTCTTTAGACTCCTAGCCCAATTTATAGTTGTAGCTTTAAATAATTACCATAATGATTGGGCGAAATAAATAAATAACAAATCTTCTAGGATAAAACAATCGCCACTCTGTAGAAAGCCGCCATCTTTGTTTTACGGCCTGTTCGCAGGCATACAGCCCTAATTAGTCGACCTGAGTGTTTAATGCACACACAACCACACACAACTCAATCTCGTTCCCAGAGTATGCCTGTTCGCGGGTTAGGTTGTGGCATGACTCTGGGGAAATCGAATTTTTTTTATCCAAAATGAGATAAATGGCGCATGCGCTTTTATTGCTTTTGTTCATTCCGCTTACTAAATTCGCGCGGGCACACGCTCACAATCGATAAAGATTCTCATCAGAATATAGTGTACAAAATGTGTTTTTTTATACGTTTAAAGATGCTTTAAATCGTACTACTATTAAATTATATTCAATGGCAAATACTAAAAGAGCTATGAAAGCTGTTCTAGCGAAGAGGGCTTGAATATTCGTTAAAAGACGAGACATTCAAATGTATCTCGGCCATTGGCCCATTGTAAAAGGATGACAATATTCGTTAAAAGACGAGACATTCAAATGTATCTCGGCCATTTGTAAGATGACCGCTTTAAGGATGAAGATGTTTTGGTTGTTTTGCCAACAGGTTATGGGCATATTATGGCAAATATTAAAATATTTCAGCTGCTACCTGACGTGTACGACATGTTACTTGGCGTAACTAATTCTATCGTGATAGTAATATCTCCACATGAATGACCAAAGTATTTCTGCATGCATGATAGTATGTCAAAGTATGATACGTACAAGGCCATTCTGTGCTACACTATATTATGGTGATGGCAGCGATATCAAATTACCATTGGATCGACATGAGAACCTGACGTTTAAGCTGTTCTATATGCACCCAGAAATATGTGTCTATGACAAGAAAATACAAGCTTTGTTCAACTGTATACTGTAAACCTCTGAATATAATGCTCACCTCATTCCAAATATAAGCCCCCCTGAATATAAGTCCCCTGAATATTAGCCCCCTGAATATCAGCCCGGTATCCCACTATGTTATTTAACATTGACATTGTCTTTAAATATAGCAGAGAATGATATTTGAAACACTGTCATTGTCTTTATAGCTTACTATGTTAATGGAGTGTGTTATTTTTTACACATGTTTATTTTCCTGTTTATGAGTGACTGACTTGTTTATTACTAACACAATTGATTGTCCATGTATAAGGCCCCCATGCATATAAGCCCCCCCCCCTAAGCCCATGAAAAATCGCTTCAAAAGAATATAAGCCCAGGGCTTATAGTCAGAGGTTTACGGTATTATATATCACATATTTTAACAATAAACACATTATTTTTTATATTATATTACATTAACATATATACATGGACCACATAAAAAGTCTTTAAATGACAGTACATTGTGTTTGTAATTATAATTACTATAATTACTTGTGTCAAAAGTAATAAATGAAGTGAACAAATCCATATATATTTGTTGAAAAATTCTTGCAGTGGGTATCTTCCATTTGCTTTTCATGCTTCACACTGTGTATCTTTGGACATTTAATCAGCAACTAATTATAGGAAAGGATATATTTACTAGCTCATTTCTCCATATTACCAGGTACATAACATGCAATATATCAACCTTGCAATCCATGCTTTAACCCATGCAGTTGCCCCTCTCCTGCAGCATGTTTGGGAAGGAAGAGTAAGGAATGGAGGTACTGTAATTTCTAAATTTAGCTCCCTTCTCTTCAAGCCCCTCTCCAATAACCCCCCCCCCCTCATTTGGATACAAAAATATAAAATAAATAAGCCCCCCCCCTCATTTGCATACAAAAATAAAAAATAAGCCCCCCTCGGCCAGCCCCTCCTCTTTTAACCATGCAGCCCTCAATTAATTCTTAAAATCATGATATATATTGCATTTCTGCAGTATTTTAATAAAATATAGTACAATGGTAACTCTGAATATGGACATTTTTTAATGGTAACCAGACTTATTGCATATATTAAGAACAAGTGCCCCCTCAATGATGCTTAGGAAACAATAATACCCAGGAGGCTTGATACAGAAATTAAAGTAGTTATTTGATTGAAACTGGTTAACTGGTAGCTATTTCAATTCTACTGTATCTCCTTTTATATAGAATTGAATTAATTGCCAATATATTCACATAGTATAATAGTTTGGAAATGGAATCAATACTTGTATATTTTTAGTAATAGCAAATGAGCATTGTTATTGATCAAACAACATTGTTTCACATAGCAACTGAGACAAGGAAACATTTGTATTTAAATTCACTACTTATTTTTTATCCAGACACAAATTGATGCAAAAATTGTTTCAGGTTTGGCTTAGTTATAGCCTTACATCGGGCTATTCCATTTATATCTGTACCCCCCTGTTGAGGATCCCTGGAATTCTTCAGGGGTAAAGGGTTTTGAGCTTGGAATTTTGGAATTCTTCAGGGGTAAAAGGTTTTGAGTTTGAAATTCTTCAGGGGTATAACCATGAAAAACATGTATCCTCGACAGGGGGTGTACGGATATTAAATGGAATAGCCCATCATGCTGTCAAGTGGCAATCACTTACAAAGCAAGTCTATAACCAAATGTTTTACAACCTGAGGAACTTCTTAAATCAATTATTCTATAATTTATACAGATGCTACAAAAACACCTGGCATCTTAAATTTATATAGATAACTCCATTTACAAAAGCACAAAGACCACGGGCTACAACATGTTGAGTGTTGACCATAATGTACTGTATTGTTTAAAGCTTCAAGTTTTTAACACAAGCAAAAGCTGTCACTCCAAAGTCCTGGCAACAATATGTCAATTTAACAAAACAATGACGTGTGCGATGATTTCATTTAGCCAATTCTTCCATGGTTATAATAAATATACTCATACTGTAGATCGATAAAAAGTCATTCATAAATACCATGCCATTTTGTAAGTATATACCCAACGTCCCAATACTTTTTCATACGATTAATATAATATATCCTTCGATTTATATTGTTTGATTTCGCATTCCAAATCTGATAAACATTGATAATTCTCTCTTCGCGTATGTCCACGCGTAATTCTCGTAAAAAACACGCATTAATTGTGTCGGCAGCATTGATGATCACGGCAGCCAATCAAATAACGATTTCGATTTGATTTCCCCAGAGTCATGCCACAACCTAACCCGCGAACAGGCATACTCTGGGAACGAGATTGGGTATTTTGTACTTTCCGCGTTCGCCCACGAACGCGGCATTCTGATTGGCTGTTTGCTGTTGGATTCTATAATTAGGGCAGTGATTCATCACAAAGGCTTTCGATAAGCTCAAAATTTGAAAATTGATCACTTTTTTCGATTATAAATGGAACAAGAACAGATTGTTTACTGTTTACTTGAAGGAAGAGATGTTTTTGCCGTTATGCCAATGGGGATTGCTTGTTGTGAGGTGTTGGAATAGCAACATTACGACTGGGGTAAACTATAGTAACCTTTACTTGAGTTTCATTAATTTCAAACAGACTTGATACATTATATGTTCCTCAAGAAAATTATCTTTTGGTTGATGTTGAGATGCAGTTGCATGTAAGCCTATTCGAAACACTTTGCGATTTACAAGGCTTCGCTGAGAGAGCGAAACAGAAGACGGTATTAAATTGCCGTTTGAAACGAAACGATCTGGACTCTGAACGCTCTCTTCTTTAATTTGTAGAGTTCTTTACCAAATGAAATAACTGAAATAAATTTCGTACTTTCCGCCGCCAACAAGAATTGCACGCACGATCTGATAAGTGAGACAATTTATTTATAACAATGCCAATGGCGACAGCGAAGCACACATAATATAAATCCTAATGTGGTCGCACGACTTCCCTCATGATTTGAAGTTTGAGACTGGTTTTCTGTTGAAATTCGTCCTAATTTGCCTGTTCCGATTTTAGTTGAAAATGAGCACTTGCAAATTTGGCAATTACTGACTGCGTTGCTTGCTTTTTTGGAGTTAAAACGCAGCCATTTACACATTGTTTATTAGTGTTCTGAACAAGCAGAGAAAACCCCGCAACATTTTAATGCGAGTTTGTTTGTTAATATTTGGGTGCTGTCATTGGTTCTTTTTTGACAATTGACGCGCGAATGGGGCGTGTTATGAAAAGGGGCGTATTTCAAAATACCGGGCGATGGTTGCAGGCCCACTATCAGTTCCCTTGGGCCTGCACGCAGGCTAAC